GAGGGCCAACTTTGGCCAACTGAAGGCCAGACTGGGGGAAAGTCTCCTGGGATAGGTTACTGGAAGGCAAGCGAGTTGAGGAGGGGTGGATGGCACTCAAAAGGGAGGTTTTGGAGGTGCAAGCCTTGATGATACCTCTAGTTAGTAAGGTGGGGAGGCGGAGGAGAGTGCCGCTATGGATGCAAAAGAAGGTGGTTAGAGGGATTAGACGAAAGAGGAACCTCTGTAGGAAATGGGTACTGGGGCAAATAAAAGGGTATACTGGGAGGAGGAGGCCCATTGCAGAAGGATTCTTTGCAAGGCTAAGGCTGATTACGAGCTGAGACTTGCCAAGAATATCAAGGGCAACAAAAAGGGCTTCTTTCAGCATGTAAATAAGAAGGGGAGACAAGTGGTGGGACCACTAAACAAGGAGGAAGGAGATCCAGTGACTGATATGAGGGAACAGGCACCGAGGCTAAGTGACTATTTTGCCTCTGTGTTCTCCCCAAAGCAGGATGGGGGAGATTTGCATAGGAGATTAGATGAGACTGGGGACTTAGGGGCACAGAATAGAGTCACCCCCTCCTTGAAGTCGAGGGGCTCCTCAGGGCATTGGATATTACAAAGGTGCCAGGCCCTGACAGGTTATACCCGAGAGTACTTAGAGAGTTGGCAGGGGTTCTCTCACGCCCGCTGGCCTTCATTTTTGAGGCCTTGTGGAGAATGGGTAAAGTTCCAGAGGACTGGAGGGTGGTATCAGTGGTCCGAATTTTCAAAAAGGGTATTAGAAGGGACATGGGGAATTACAGACCTGTTAGCCCTATGTCCATTGTAGGAAAAACAATGGAAAGGCTCATAATAGAGAGAGATCTAGTGATGCTAGATAGGGAAGGGAGGCTGACAGCCACACAACACGGCTTCCGCAAAAACAGATCCTGCCAGACAAACCTTGTGGAATTCTATGACAAGGTTTCGAGATGTCTAGATGGAGGGGATGCAGTGGATATGGTATACCTGGGTTTCAGCAAGGCCTTTGACAAAGTGCCCCATGATATCCTGGTGGAGAAACTGAGGAGTTTTGGGATACACCAAAGCACTGTCCGGTGGATTAGGGCATGGCTGACTGACCGAAAGCAGAAGGTGTATCATCGGGATGAATCATCATTAGTGGGGAATCATCGGGATGGTGGCCAGTGACAAGCGGGGTCCCCCAGGGCTCTGTCCTGGGGCCGATCCTATTAAATCTTTTCATCAATGACATGAAAGAAGGGGTGAACAGTCTGCTGATCAAATTCGCAGACGACACTAAAACTGGAGCAGTGGCCACAACTGAGGAGCAGGTACTCCAGATCCAAAAGGATTTGGACTGACTATGGAAGTGGGCAGGAGACAACAGGATGGCGTTCAATGTGGATAAGTGCAAGGTCTTGCACTTGGGGCATAGGAATAGGTGTCATGTACAGGTTAGGTGACAAGTGGCTGGAGAGCAGCACTTGTGGAAGGGACCTCGGGGTGCTGGTTGACTCCAGGCTAAACATGAGTCCGCAGTTTGATGCGATGGTCAAGAGGGCGAATGCCACCCTCGGTTGCATAGCCAGAAGTGTGGCTTCTAGATCAAGAGAGGTATTACTACCACTCTATATGACTCTGGTGCACCCACAACTGGAGTATTGTGCTCAGTTTTGGGCCCCTCATTACAGGAAGGATATAGCCAGGCTAGAGTCAGTGCAGCGTAGGGCCACAAGGTTGGTGGCCGGTTTGCAGGGGATGGGGTATGAGGCAAGACTGAGGGAACGGGGTCTCTTCAGCCTGGAGAAGAGGAGACTCAGAGAGGATATGTTGGCGACATACAGATATGTGAGGAGATGTCACATGGAGATGGGTAGAGACCTGTTCTCCCCTGCAGAGGAAGGCAGGTGGTGCTCCAATGAAGCAAAGCTCAGGGAGCCGAGGTTCCGTTTGGATGCCAGGAAGCACTTCCTGACAGTCAGGACCCCGAGGGTGTGGAATGGGCTTCCACGGGAGGTGGTTGAGGCCCCATCGGTGCGGGTGTTCAAAGATAGGATGGACATGCACTTGGTGGGCATGTCATGAGCGGAGCCAGCTGGTACCAGAGGTCAGACTAGATGGCCCAGGAGACCCCTTCAGACTCGCTCTGTTTCTATGTTTCCCTTTTTTCTTCCCATAATAATTTATAGGTTCTAATTTTATTCATGAGCATCATACTCTAAATTTTTCCCTTCCTGAGGTCAACTGTTTGTAGTTGAAATGTTCTCCAGGCGTTCGCCAGCTGTATCAGTTAAAATATGTGTAATCATTACCATGTAATCTCTTCCCACCTGATACATACCCCGGAAGGTTAATTAATTGTAACTTTTGCAATAATACCTCTGTGCTAATTCCAACATGGAAAGTCTAGCAGAAACAAACCTTAAGCCTATTGCTCGGTCTTCACTACTTCCTCAGTGGAGAGAGGAGCTACTGGATTTATTTTTTCATGGATGAGAAAAATGAAGGTAGATAGAGGCCTAAAGGATGGCAGCAGATCCAAATGCAATGGGGTCCCAGACATAGTTGTTCTGGTGTAAGCCACTCAGAGTCCAACGGGACCTACTCCCAGGGAACCAAGTGTAGGAGTGCATTCTTCCTTGGACCAGCTCCCCCAAAGGAGACTTAGGTCTCTTTGCCCTTCAGGCAATACACCACTCTCTCTTCCTCTTTTTCAGTGTTTTCAAAATTGCCAGTTTCTGTCACTCACACCATCTGTCACACTCCCCTCACCCATGTCTGACTGCATCCCTCCAAATAAATGATCAATTCACAAAATGTTCAAAGCCATTAAAGGAACATCAAGACTCTTTTGTCAAATCCAGAAGTCCCATTCAGAGTTATTCTAGGCATAATCATAATGCTAGATGCATTTATGGGAATCAGACAGCAAACATGTAAGGAAATTTATATTGCACTGCATATGTGCACCGATGCTTCTGTCAGTGATTGCCATTTGGGCTTGGACTGTTCCGAGTTCCGGGAAATTGAACTGTCAGTTTTGGAATAGTTTTTCTAAGGGAAGAGAATGTTTTTGGTTTCGATGAGATTAAGACTGCAAGCAGCTTCTAAGGACAGTGCTTATGAGGGGCGAACGGAAGGCCTAAAAGAGATCCTGGAAAGTAGGGAACTGAGATGCATGGAGGCCAGAAAAAGGTAGACTGGGCTCCTGCAACCTTTGGAGCCACTTGTATACTAAAAGAGTATAATGTGCACCATCACAATATGGCTGCCTTGTTCACAAAATGACTGCTGTGATGAGCTTGGCCAGTTACAATATACCCATTTCACACAAGGCAGACTTGCAAGAATAAAAGGCAAGCAAGCAGCTTCAGAAACTAAGTACAAGGAAGAGATGAGGTCTGAGACTCGGTGGAATCTAGTTTTCTCCTCCAACACTTACTGCACAGCTGCTGAGGCTAAATGACAAAACTTGAATACCTGCTCCACTCACAAAACGTATCTTCACGGAAAATATCACCCAGCCCCTGCTGTCAGCCTAGCCTCCAGCTAGGGCTTCTTGGTCCCCTTCTGAGCTTACCAGGTAGTGGCGATGGAGTCCCTTTCTCCTTTTTCTGGGTGGCTTGGTGTGCTACCCACCATCTTGTCTCTCGGATCCACATGGGGTGGAGAGGCATTTATAGGAAAGGAAGATGGCTGAGGTTTGGAGGTACTTGTTTCTCATCCAAGCAATCCCAATATCAGGGGAAAGGAAAGTATCAGGAAGGTTTAGATAGCTTGGTAGGCATCAAGACCCTTATATTAGACAGAGGACTGAGGAAATTGGAGGAAAGGTAGGAGAAAACTGAGGAGGCTTGATAGAAGAGATGGGGAGCATATATAGGAAGAAGCTAATAAGAGGAGGTGGTGAGAGCTGAATCTCCACATTGTTTGGCACTCTGAGAATTCTCAGTTCTGTGAGAATCCTACAACTGTGGAATGGTACCTAAACCTGGAGACTTTCATTCCTGCTTTTCATTATGCTGGAAATAGGATTTATTTTTCTTAACTCAGTGTATTCTCAACAACAGCAAAGTACATGTTTTAAAGTAGGGTTGAAAAGAAGCAATTGGACAAAACAGTAGCAATACCTTTTGTTAATTAGGCATTTTTAAGCCTGAGACCAGTTGATTAATTTTTGGCATAGTGGGACGAGTAGAGGATCAGACCCTTGGTGACATTTGTGGACATAGGATTGAAAAAAGGTCATATATAGTGGGAAAAACTGAATTGTTGTAAAATTCTGACCATTAATACTGCCTGAATGTTTTAAATCCTAGCTTGCAGACTGCTCTACATAAATACTGAAAAATGCTATGAACTGTGTATAGCAATGAGGTGGTGTCTGTAGCAGCCTCCTATACCCTTTCGTCTACTTTTTTCTCTACTTTTCTTTCATATTTAGCTGCTAGTTTATATTTTTGATGAAGTAATCCCACAGATACATTTTGAATAAGTTGTATAAGTATAAAAGTTATAAGTGCAGAATGTATAGAGGACTTAAAATTTCCTGTTCTAAAAATAATCTCATCTTTAATTATGAAAGTTTTCTGGTGGTTAGCATGGTGAAACATCCTCCCAGGCAGAGCAGGAAAATGTCTGTTAAACTGTCACCTTATGTGGATAAGCATGTGATATAAGATTGTGTCTCTATCATATTAATTGGGAATAAACTATGGATTAAGCAGGAGCACTAATAGCACTGCCTTGTCGAAACACTAATATTGCTAAATTAGATTTGAGGCATGGCTTCCTGCCCTGTAGGAAGCTGTGCACAATAATTCTTGTTAGAATCAATAACATTCATTGGCAAGTATTTCTTAGCAATTGGTTTTCTGCTGTTGGAACAAGGTCTTGCCTCTCATTCTGAAAAGCTAAGCATTTAATTGCAAGATGCCTACCGAGTCTTGACTGCTCTTCTAATTTGTAATGTTTCTTTCAATAGAACCTGATCTACAAAACACACAAACATGAGTCACTTTCGCCTGATTGCCAGTACCCTGAAACATCATGGAATTTATTCGTTGGTGAAGAAAAATGTAAACAGAAAAGTGTTTCTGCCAAGTCGGAGTTACGTTTCTCCTGGAGTCACAGAACCATTCCTGAGTGGAAGTAATTCAAGTTATGTGGAGGAAATGTATTATGCATGGCTCGAGGATCCAAAAAGTGTGCATAAGGTAATGTTAAGGACAAAGAGAAATATAAAAATGATTATGGCACTCTCACACTTAGAAATCTAGCATTTGGTTCACATTGTTGCTTAGGTTCTAACGACCCTGAGTAGAATTTATATATTTAATGGAGCTTGCACACTTCTGGCTGAGCTTCTGTATTTACCTAGAAGCAGGATCCACTGTGGTTGATTGAGCTTACTTTTTTAACTCTTTAGGGATGAAACGTTACTTAATTGGAGAACATCTCCAATTTTGCCTCAGAATTGCTTGGGGGCTTTGTAAGCATTCTTTTTGAACACTTCTATAGGGTTAAAGCCTTTTCTGAATACTTGAGAAGGATGTTCAGTAAAAATGCAATATTTCCTGCCCTACTCCAGAGTAAGTAGATGCAGAGCAGTTCTTGGGAATGCAGAGCGTGAGTAATGGACTGCAGGAGGGAGCGCATTCACGAGTCCGGCTCCTTGCTGCGTTCAAACAGCAGCGATTCGGGTGTGCAAAATTCAGTTGCTGCTTTGGGCTGTACAAACCAAAGTGTTGCCCTAAGAACATGGCCAGATGGAAGGCTGGCTTCACTGATCTTCCGTTCTGTCACATTAGGACACCCAGGTCAGACTGGATGCTAACTCTTTGATCCACGGCATGTACAGTAAACCAGTCACAACAGATCTTTGATGGCTTTGCCTGATGTTCTCCTACGCTTGCAATGTTTTAAGACCCCTAACTACCTGGGAAAGCTCCACTGGTTGACACTGAACAGATCTGCCGTGGCTGAGAAATATGCTTTGTTTCATTGCCATCACTACCACAGGACTAACGCTGAGATGTGCTCTCTGAGCTGCGTTCATTTGCATTTGTCTCATGTTTACTGCTATCTTTACTCCAGACATCAGTGATGCATTCTGTCATCTTTGGCTCCGGTTTAAAAATAGTCATAGCCCTTCTTTGAATATTGATTTTTTTTCCAGAAAGAAGGGTTCAGTGAACCCTGAACATTTCTAGAATCTTTAAATCTCTGGTCCATCTGCGAAAAGATACTATCCATGCCATTAGGACCCCAAGGGTATGGAATGGGCTTCCACAGGAGGTGGTTGAAGCCCCATTGGTGAGGGTGTTCAAGGATAGGTTGGACATGCTCATGGTAGGCATGCCATGAGTGGAGCCGGTTGGAGCCGGGGGTCAGTCTAGATGGCCTGGGAGGCTCCTTCTGATTCACTCTGTTTCTATGTTTCGATAATCAGCTAATCTGTGACATGTGCCACAAGGGATGCAGGTGTTGCGTTCGTTGTTCTTGGCAGAGATAGTGGTGTAGCTGTGGACCCTTCTTGCAGTACTCTGTGCTCATTAAGCAAAAAGTAAAACTGTACTAGGTCATGCAGTATTCGAACACAAATTGTAACGCATGCTTGGCATGAATATTTTGGACTTTACTTGGGGCACATCTGCTCTACATCTATAGGTTCAGGTATATATAAAATCTGGCGTGTGAATGAAAAGCTGAGCGGGCGGGGAATGCCTTGACTAACTTAACTTGGCAGCATGGGTTCTGACTCCAGGGAAGGGGCTGCAGGTCGATGGTGGAGAATCTGTGCTGTGCATGGAAGGACCCTTGTTCGTTCCACCAGCATCCCCACCAGTAGGGCCAGGAGAGAATCCTGCCTGAAACCCCAAGGAGCTGCTGCCAGTCAGTGTTGGTAATACTAGACTAGATGGAGCAATAATCTGATTCAGTATAAGGCAGTTCCTGTGTTTTAGAAGTTGGGTCTTTCGTAAGTTATGACTAACAGGCACAATCATTTGTAATGTTAGCTGTTGTGTATTTTTTTAGAAATACTGGTTTGTTGTTGTGTATCACCTTGCGTGTTTTGTAACAGGTGATTAACAGGACCTATAAACAGATGGCTTAACTGGACTGTATAAATAAACATCTCTGGCTAATTAGGCCGAGAGGTGAATGTTGGTGCTGACCTGCCACAAAATACCAATCTTTCCTTCTGTATAAGAAGCAAGGCTTGCAATTATCTGGAGGTTCAGGAAAGTGTCGTTTTCTTTCACCAGCCTGAGCTGCTAGATTTATTGAGAATATCAGCACTTAGACTTCTGCTTAGCCTTACTGGCCAAAGGGAGCCAGTACAGTTCTCTAATGGATGGAAAAGCATGGGGAGTGATCAGGCTGGCTGAAAGCATCCCACAGATGCAGCAAACTCTGCTAGCAAAAGCGTTTTTCTAGCAGGATAGAAAAACAGAAAGCAGATGGGATAAATAGGAAGTAGATGGGGGAATTACCAGCTTTGGGAAGCAATGTGTCATACTACTATTATTTTTCATGCTTGTGAAGAAGACCGCAATCCTAAGCATTCTACCAAGAAGTTTCAAGTGTGGGTATCTCTGAGTAAATATGTTTAGGATTGGAGTGCAGCAGACTAAAAACTACCTCCCTCCCCCCGCTCTCTCTTTTGAGTTAGTTTTACGCAAGATGCGTTTTGTTCTTTTCTTGCTCCTCCTGAGTAATCCTGTGCTCCACTAGTGCAAAGTACAGTCTGAAGCAGCTATGTGAATAAAATGACACAAGCCCGGAGAATGGTGTCATTATTTCTGCTCATAGAATTGTGTCAGGGCCATAGATCATAGGGAAGAAGCTTGACAAGCCTTGGTTATTGCTATCACAAGATTAATTGAAAAAACTGCTTGGTTGCCTATTGAGTACATAACTGTTGCCATGTTTCCCAGTATGTAGCCAGTCTACCATGTTTGTGTAATGATTCTGCTGCTGTTGTTTGTTTGCTTGGAGGCAAGGTTTGTTTGGTTTTAAATAAAACCACCATAATACCCAACAGTGGTGTCATTTAGAAACCAACATTCCTAGGATTACAGGATTTTAGGGACCACCACTATGTCATAAGGAAAAAAATGACTTAAAAATTCATGATGCAATTTGGTAGTGAAGCTAGTCTTATTACTGGCTTTTGTAGTGAAGGAATGCTGCGGTCCTGTGTAGCTCTCTTGCAAACAGTTTTGCGTAAATGTTCTTAGAATTGCATTATTAGTGCTGTCTTTTTTACTTGTATGTAATACTATGTACCATTAAAACATAGTATCACTCACAGTTAAGGGCCATTTTTTTCATGTTAAAATAGTTCTTGTACATCCTTAAGCTGTTTATAGCTGATTTGTTTATATTATGTTCCATTTTCAAGGACTTATTTGAGGCTCTGACAGTTTTCAAAATTATTCTTATTGGGAGCTCTTTAAATCCATAATCAGATCGGAGGCCATCCTTTCAACCTGAGTTTGATAAACGACACCCTTGTGGTGGTGAAGAAGACACACATTGTTGTAGGGATGAAAATTATTTTCTCTTCTAAAACATTTTCTCTTACTCTCTCCAGCTTTCTGTTCTGCCTCTCACATCTCTCCCTGTATCCTTACTTCTTTTGTACTCTCCGTTTTTCCATTTTTTAAAGTCATGAATGGCAGTCCTGAATACTGGTGCTGTTGGTATAACCTACCTTATGGCGGAGTTTGGGAATGTCAGTTCCAATATTGGGAATATCAGTTCCAGTGTCAATTCAGCCGATACCTTTTCTATCATAGCCTGATTTGGTTGCGTTACAGGTCATAGAATGTTGGCTGAGTCTGCATGAAAGATGGCTTATTTTCCCTTCCCAAGTTTGCTGGACATCCTTAGATTGATTAGATTAATTATCTTTGATGGGCATGGGTTGTTAGGGTCCGGTGGAAGGGGTTGTTAGAGAAAGGGTGGAAAAGTGTAGTTGGTGTAGCATACTGCTACCTAGTGTAAAGGGTTAGGAACAGACCGCTCTGTTCCTGCTCTGTTCATGGTCTCCTGTAGTGTGGGAACTTTCCCCATGTTACATCAAATCCATGCTTCATTCACCCAGGTGTGCTTGGAACCCTAGCCTTGGAACTAGGCCTTTTTAGGATAATGTACTTTTAAGCTTGGGTAATACTAATCATTTTGAACTATGCTAATGAATGAAATGTGAATGTGAGAAGGGAAGGAACTGGGAAGAGGGAGATCACAATATTCCTACTGTTTGTTTCTGATCCTGAGGGAGGGAGGGATAGAAATAGGAGACTGAAAGAGTGAAAATGTAAGAATTGAATTTATCATCTGTCTTGTGTTTTTTTATTTGAAAAACCATTTGGTCTAACAGACCTGTACCACTTTCTCCCTTCCCTTTTCCCCATCTTGCGTAGTCTTGGGATCTATTTTTCCGAAATGCTGTGGCTGGGGCTCAGCCTGGACAGGCTGTTCAGGCATCTTTACCAGACTTCTCTGGTGCTAAGACATCTCTTATCCAAAGCCATGGGCTGACTAAGGCACCAGGTAAAGCTGAAAAACTGGTTGAAGATCACCTGGCTGTGCAGTCCTTGATCAGAGCATACCAGGTAAGTGCCCTACAGCCATGTACCATCATCCACACACAGTGCTTTCTCATGGAAGAGTTTTGTAAGCAGAATGCAGTTAATTAGTCCCCCCTTCCACAGAACTTTTCTCTAGCAGGAAGAAATAATTTGGAGATGACTCTTACCTATCCCCACAATATTCATCACAATAGGGATTAGATGCTAACCTGATTAAAGGTTTTTTTTTTTTTTAAACTTGGGGAGAAATATACTAAATAATAGTAGTATTGTGAGACAGACAGCTCTGACCTAATCAATGCTTTTGTGACCTCATGCCAGTGTAAGTAACCCTGTGACGACTTTTACAGGGCCTTTTTAAAGTTGCATGAGTGGGCAAAAAGAAAGCTTGAGACCTATTCAGAGATAAGTTAGGGTGCCAGAATTATTTTCAGAGTGAGCTTGATTTAAATAACTTTATTTGGCTGGATGATATGGCAAGACCTCAGCTGAACCAGAATGATAAGTCATAGGTGCAGTGGGGCATTCCATGTTTCTTTGACTCTTGCAGTCCCCTGATATTTCAAAGTAGATTTCACTAAAATGCCTGGGGCTTGCTCCCAGCAGCCCTCCAAGTAAGATTCTGAGGCCCCCTTTCATCGCCACAATAGGATTATGCCCTAAGCTACCTTTTAGGATGGGGAGAGCAATCCTGTGGCCCCTGGGTGAGCATGCCAGGGGCCATACAATAGTTCAAATTGCCCCTTCAAGGTAGGATGCAGTGCTCAGCAGGAGGAGCTGAAGATCTGTGCCCCGACTTCCTTGCAGCTGGTATGAAGCAATTGCATTGATTGCATCTCTGAAATGGGAAACTTGTCCTTGGAGAACTGGAAAGGGTGGCATTCCAGTGGATGGGGAAGGGAGGAGAACGGAGAGGAGAAGGGAGGAAGGGAGGAAAAGGGAGACATCAGGTTATGATTTATCCTGACCTTCCCTCACCTTTCAAAGTGGCCTTGAAGGGCAAGGAGACCAAGTACACTTCCTCCGAGTCCTCCTTCAGCCCAGTATTTATTTATTTATTTATTTATTTATTTATTTATTTATTTATTAAAACATTTCTATGCCGCCCCTTGCCAAGGCCTCGGGGCGGCTTACAACATCAAATAAAATACAAAATACATTAAAACAATAACAATTAAAATATGACACTGGAATCTCAGAAGCTTCTGAGTGAGGGCTTCTGAACAGCAAGGGTGCAACTGACAGAATCGTGCTCTTAATTTAGGAGTGGGAGCCCACCAAGTTCAACATAAAACAGGGCGTGGAAGTAAACAGTCAGTCTCATGTTATGGAAGTCTATGCTTGGAGGAAGGAATCTGATAGCTTAGTTATGCTATCCATTTTGAGGAGAATGCAAACAGCAAAAACAATGGGAACCGAGTTCAGCTGCATGAAAACATCTCTGACACTATTGTAACAGTGAATAGTGAAAAGGAGTGGGCATAACTGAACAGGGGTGGCGGCTTATTCATATTTTTAATTTGGATGTGTTTGAAATATTCCTAGTTCATGAATCTCTTTGATATTTCATTTTGATAAATTCCTTGTTGATGTTAATTTTTTAAAAGTCGGCTATCAAAATACTGCCAAATGAGTGATTTGCATAGGACCCTCTGGCTATGGTTTTAAAAAGAAAAACAGTTGAAATACTTTGCCAGCTGTTACACAACGCCCTTAATGATAAATCAGTGATGAAGAATTTACACACAAACATGCACACACATTGTCACTGTCAGCACTAATTTGAAGTTTTTTGGTAGCTTTTCCATTGTTATGAGATACAACAAAGCAAATTATGGCCATGCTGTCATATGAGAATAGCTACTTATTAAAAGAATGAACTGGCAGAAGACAACTGAGAAGTTGTATTAGATACAGAATTATTGTCTCCTTTGCCTTTACTTATTTTTCTTCTGACTTTCTACTCTGATAGAATAGTATAATTCCTACGGAAAATGCTTGTGGATGACCATTACTGCAAATGTCTTCTACTTTATACAGGGTATTTCATAAAGTACGCAGTTTTTAAAAATGCAATAAATCAGCCAAAATCGAAGCAAAATTCAAAATTTTTATTTAATTTCATTCAACATATACTTCGATTTAATAATGAAAACTGATATCGAGCATATATCTACCTCCACTTTCTCTGCAGGCAATCATCCAATCGTTGAAATTAATGATAACTTTCACAGACGTCCCTGTCGATTTCACCGATTACCGGTACGGTTTCAACCGGGCGATTTTCTGGTTGCAACTGACCCAGATTCTTTGAATTTCTGTACTAACCTGGAAACTGTTGTTGCAGTAGGGGCATTGTCATGTCCAAAGATCACGCGAAGTTTACGGACAGTCTCTGCATAGCACTCCCCGTTTTTGTTATGAGTTTTCACAAGAAGAATGCGTTGCTTGATACTGAACAGCTCCATGGCTACTAAATGGAAAAATGACAAATGGTCTTCTAATTGGAGTGATAATAAATAACGAAAATGACAGGAACAGTGCTGACAATCTTCAAGCAAAAAAATACCATGCAATTCAAAAACTGTGTACTTTATGAAACACCCTGTATATTACTGTCCATTGCCCTTACCAAGAAATAAATCTTTAAGATAAGTATTTGCAGCCATTATATAGGAATTCAAGAAGAGTTTTGCTGGATCAGATCAAAGTAAAAATCATCCTATCTGTCCAGGTCCCCCAAACAAACATTTTCTTGCCTATTTTAAAATCTGAATTTTCCCATAAAATTAATTTTGCATGTGAAAATGTCAATGGACATTCAAATATATGCCACAACTTTCTAGCTGTCACAGCTGGAGTGGGTACATTATCTGCTTTAGTACGGCAAGAGTCCAGTGCAATCCACCCAGGGAAGAGGGTCCAGAAATGAAGAATAGCAGGCAGACCAGGGAGGCCAAATCCACCTTCTCAAATGGGAAGCTGCACCCTTTTCAAAGATATTCATGGTGGAGTGGAGACCCCTAAGAATTTATGAGACGATCCATGAAGAAAACACTGCCAGATATAAATAGAAGAACAGCATGTGCAACATAAAATTTGGGGTGTTAAATTCATTTTAAGTGTATTTACCATACCTTATAGGTGCCCACCTTTCACTGTCCCTTGAGATCTCATTAAACAGCTTACTGAAATTCAATCATTCGTGATATACCTCTTGGGACAAGAACTCCCAGATGAGTAATAAATTTAGCACAGGGACTAAGCTGTTAATTAGATAAGCACAGTACAGGCTGTTATCTCCAATAGACAGGAGTTCCAACTGTGACCAATTGACAGAATAGTTAGATAAATGTCTAAAATCATTAATCATCTGAATCAAGGCTGGAACTGAGAACTGAAGTTCCAAAAGACCATCAGCATAGAAAATGAGTTTTTATAGAATATCAATTAATTTTGAAAGAAAGCAAACTCTTTCCTCTGGAGTTACCAGCAACTTGCCCCTTTGTATTGTTGTCTTCCCTCACTGGTCAGATTTATTTTATTTATGCATTTATTTATTTTTACATCTATAAGTCACCAAACAACTCTAATGAGCTTCCTAGGGGGTGTACAGCAGTAAAATCACAGCCAATGGTTTAAACTATCATTTAAAAACAATCAATTAATAACAATACTAACCTAGCAGAGCAGGGCAGAGCAGGTAAGAAGGACTACCAAATAATCATTAAAACACAATGAAATTAAGACACTGTAAAAAGTTGTTATTGAAATCAATTTTTGAAATTATTAAAATTACTAAAATGGGTGGAGAAGAGATATGTTTTCTCCTGGAGCTGAAATGGCACCAGGTGAACTTTCTGGGGAGCCTGTTCCACAGATGGGGAGCAGCCACCAAAAAGACTCTTTCAGTTTACCATCCCCTTACCTCCTTGAGGGATGGCACATTCAGAAGGGCCTCTTAACCAGATCTTGATGGTCAGGTAGGCATTTGTTATTGTTGTTGTGAAGTTGCATCCTACCCATCACGACCCCATGGAAAACATTCCTCCAGGCTTTCCTGTCCTCCACCATCCCCTGGAGTCCACTTAAGCTCATGCCAACTGCTTTAGTGACTCCATCCAGCCACCTCATTCTCTTCTGTCCTCTTCTTCTTTTCTCGTCAATTGTTCCCAGCATTAGGCTCTTCTCCAGTGAGTCCTTCTTTCTCATTAGGTGACCATAGTATTTGAGTTTCATCTTCAGTATCTGGCCTTCTAAAGAGCAGTCAGGGTTGATCTCCTCTAAGACTGACTGGTTTGATCGCCTTGCAGTCCAAGGGACTCGCAGGAGTCTCCTCCAGCACCACAGTTCAGAGGCCTCAGTCCTTTGGCACTCAACCTTCCTTATGGTCCAGCTTTCACAGCCATACATTGCAACTGGGGAAACCATAGTCTTGACTATACGCACTTTAGTTGGGAGGGTGATGTCTCTGCTTTTTAGTATGCTGTCTAGATTTGCCATAGCTTTCCTCCCCAGGAGCAAGCGTCTTCTCATTTCTTGGCTGCAGTCTCCGTCTGCAGTGATCTTGGAGCCCCGGAAAATGTACATATGGGGTACAGAGCAGTGTTAAGGATTGATAAAAATGCACACATTTCCAAGCAAAGTAGGCAGTGGGTGAAATCAGTAAACATATGCATGCTGCAAGGCAGGCGACTGAGGTGGATTGGTAAATATATGCCACTTTCATAGCAGCAGACCTTCACATCTGTGTACTTGCATAGGACCTAAAAAGATAGGCAAAGCTGTGAACATGTTCATTCTCCTTGAATTTTTGGAACATGCTGCAGAGAATGCAGGCAAGGGATGGGTGAGGATGTAGTGGCAGCCGTGAAATTATGAGGAGCAGCGGGGTTTTCGTTGCTTTCTAGGCATCCTGACAGTCCATGATAAGTTGTTCGGCATGGTTTCGAGGACATAACAAGTCATCCTCCAAACAAGCCAGCATGAACAGCTCAACACCCATGGGTTCTTGGGGTGGCTGGTTTGTAGAAAACAACCCATGATGAAAGTCTGGGTTTGAAGATCATGACAAACTACCCTTACCCTTGAAGGCATATCAACCATGGCTTATCATGCTATGCAAACCAGGCCAGTAACTCTTAATTTTTTTCAATCTGCACAAGGGAAGGTCCATCATATCCAATGACAGTTTATAGGGCACTACAAAGCTCAGCTTGACCCTCTCGGGCTTAATGACGTTTCCTTTGATGATTCCATGAGTGAACTGTGTAAGCACAGAAACCTCGGTGAGCTCTCCCCTTTGATTTATTTTGCTAGCATGATGTTTTCTTCTTTGCCTTTCCTTCCACCCTTCATACCCAATTCAACCTATTCAGATCCGTGGACACCATGTGGCTCAGTTGGATCCCTTAGGAATCTTGGATGCAGACTTGGATTCATTCATTCCATCGGATTTAATCACTACTATAGATAAACTGGGTGAGAATTTTCAACTCCTTTACAATAAATTAATATCTTAATTAATTAATGTCTCATGGCAAAGTGCAACAGGCAGTTAGGTGAGCACTGAAAAACAGAGTATTTCCTTCTGTTTGTAGAAGGGCACACAACTCCTCTTTAATGAGATAGTCCTCTAACTCTGTGTATTAATTTATGATATTGTGTGTGTATATATGCATGTGTATACACACACAAAGAACTTGTATGCATGGCTGAAGGAAGATATGAGATAATTTTTTAAAATCCATATAAAAACAGCCAAGTTGGCTGACTGGAGGAATTTTAAAATAGATTATTTGTAAGAATTTGGCATGGATTTTAATGACAGTTCTTGACTTCAACATGCTAAGAAATTAGTTTAAGAGGGTGTAGTGAGCAGATTAATAGCAGAAAAGACATGACAAGGACATACCAAGAATCAGTATGTCTACATGCCATACCTATTTGATCAAGTAGACTTCTTTTTTCATTAGCTCATCAGATGGTGTATTAATTTGCATCCTCACAATACCTTGGGAAATTTGTCCTCAGGGTTGCAGATATTCCCAGGTATGTACCAGATGTGTGTGTATGATCCCTTTAAGCTCAAGCAATATAGTATATAAAATCTTTCTCTTGTTGGTGTTGAGTTTGAAAGGAGCTTCTTTCTAGGTAAGCAAGGTCAGAAAGCTCATGAAAGGGTTGGGATTGTTGGGTGAATGTTTGATTTTTGAATTTTTCTTCTTGTCTTCTTGATAAACATGTATATATCAAAGAGTTTTATGGCTTGGATGAATCTGACTTGGATAAAGTTTTCCAGTTGCCTACCACCACCTTCATAGGAGGAAATGAAACCATGCTTTCTCTAAGAGAGATCATCAAACGATTGGAGGTCAGTGCAGTGAAATGTCTTATATTTCTCCTTTCTCCTCAGTGGAGTTCAGTTTTCAATCTTCACCCTCTGGAGCTAAACAAAATTCAGTCAACATATTAAAAAGTGTCCGCATTATATTCCAAATGCCCCTAATTAAAAAATCAAGGGAGAAGTTGCATATGCTGTACCTTGCTAATATATGTCTTGAGTTTGAAATGAGACCTACTTTCAAGAGGGAAAATTGGCGGTAAGGAGTTGTTGCTCCTGAGTGAATTATGGATTGCAAATATTGTCCTGGAATATAGACGAGTGCAGGAGACTGGGAATGGACCTGGAGCTTCAATCCAAAATGGTTGGTCTGTCATTGCACCGTGGTTCCTCAGGATGATTGTGTGTGTAGCCTAAGTATAGTCAGTTCTTTCAGAAAATCCAGAAATTATTCCATCCAAATGCCCACTGGAATTCAGTAATCAGAAGTGGGTGATGGGCGCATACTCTTCTTGTGGTTTGACATTTTCCACTTCATAATCCTGGCTTCTTGTTATATTTGACTGCTGCTAAACATGGTTACTAACATTAGGACTTTTTAAGAAATCTGAGCACAAGAGTAGAAGGTCAGAACTGGAGTAGGCAATGTTAGAGTCTGATCTGGGTTGGCCATTACATCTGCATTGGACCTTGGAAGAAGCTAGTGCTTTGGGTGGAGAAGGACATGATGTTTTAAGCAGGACGCAGTAGTGGATGATAGTGATTGTCTGCAATTCCCATTCTGTGAGACAGATCAGGGCCCAAGCCATCCTTTAACTAAATTCCTCTGTGCCACCATCACTCACATGCATGTTGGTATTGTGAATTGCACACTGGAGAACGCAGGCTTACGGCTTTTGTATGTTGGGGTGGATAAGCCCCTTGTAGCTTTCCCTTGAGAACTTCCCCTAAAGTCTGTAAAGCTCACGTTAGTGTGTTTGCCAAGCCATTCAACAAACGGGTGAAGCCCACCTGCAGAGATCAAAGCAAGACAAATTTCCAGCTGGAAACTCCAGTTGCTTCCAAAATAAAATAAACACCAACATTAGTAAACTAAAACTTACTAGACACCTAAGAAAATCTTACCAAAGCAGCATTTAGGTGGATAGGTAGTGAATCTGAGACCCACACCGAGGGCTCCCTGACATGGCTTGGGCTGGTGTTGGCTCTTTGTCGTCCACGTGAAGACAAGCAAGGGTAATTCTCTGAGAGCGGGGCAGCTTCCAGAGAGAGAAGTTCCAATTGACCAGGTACCCTCAATAGTTTGAGGGCACCTGGTCCTGCATCTTCCAAGTTATTTCTGTTGGAATGAATAATAGTAGGGAGATTGTGCTGCCATGTAAAGGCATGCCCTTTTGTTTGATGGGAGTTTTAATTAAGGGTGAAAGTTAGTATATAACCATGATAAAATAAACTGTACCATCCTGGATGTTTAGTTTGCAAGAATTTTAGTCTGTCTTTAACACGTTTGCATTTGTAAATATTTTAAATGTATCATTTTATCACCCAGAATACATATTGTCAACACATTGGGCTGGAATTTATGTTTATTAATGATGTTGAGCAATGTGACTGGATCCGGCAGAAGTTCGAGACACCTGGTGTCATGAAATTCAGCAATGATGAAAAACGGACTTTGTTGGCTAGATTGGTGCGATCCACAAGGTATGTTTGGAGGGAGAGACATGGGTGCCAGTTGGGATTTTCCTGGCAGTCCTCCAATATTGCCACAACACATTTTTCTAAGTAGATAAAGAACAATGATCTAGCTGTTTTTCAGGCAGATTGAGGTGCTGGTGTTTGTCAAAGGCTTGAAACAGGTAGAGACCGGTAAGCATCAGTGCCACTCAGTTTGGTTGCATTCCTTTGAAAATCCATGGAAGCAAAAATCGAATGCAGACTATGGTTACGTTCTCTTGACCCGCATCCCAGTTAATGACTATCAGAATTAATGTTGGTCTGCTACAGCACATGTAAGTTCTTTGTGCATTGTTATTAGAGCATAACATTTGCCTTCTGTGCTGGGGTTTGCTTAGTGAGACAGTGGTAGATCATTTCTGCCCAAGTTTAATTAAAAGAGAAATGAATGCAAACCAAATGCTTTTAATAATCAAGTTAACATGGCATTTGAATGACAGGCTGTTAACAATGTGTCATATGGATTTTTTTCTCATTTATCTTCCTCAAGCAAACGAAACAAAATAAAAACTGGAACATTACAAATTGTACACTACTTCTTTTACTGGTTAGGATTTGTTTTAAAAGTCAGGAAGATGCTCGACAAAGTCATGCCCATACACTAAATAATATCAGCAGGAGAAATTAGATGACACTTGCTGTTGCACCCATTTCATCCGGAATAAAACCCAGAAGGAGCGTTTTGGAACTCAGCAACTCTACTGCCTTGGCACTGCATCTAATGGCTAAGTTCACGTGACACAACAGATCACCTTGTGAATATGCTACGTCGTCCTCAGAACAACCATTGTGTCCCCAGCAAACCATCAGGCTTACAATGGATGGTTCTCTTCCAACTTTGCCTTGGTCCTCCAGCCAGTATCCCAGGGTCTTGTCTCCCCATCCCAGTTCTGATTTCAACACCATTTTTGGCACCTTTTTTTCCGGAGCCCTGTGCTGCCACCAGTGACAGTTGTTCACTGATGCCCAAGCAGCATTTTGGAGCAACCATCACTGACTTACTACCTTTTTAAAAAGTATTTTGACAATCTGTCAAACAGTAACAGAATAACGAGGTGAGACTGTATGTAGGCTAATTTGTGAACCGTTGACAGATGTTGCTTGTCTAGCCATCAATATATTCCTCTTGTATTTACTTCCCAGCTATGAAATTTGCACATATTTTCCTTTGCTTGCTGCCCATCCATGAAATCTGATTGTATTTCTTATCAAAATAAATGTGTAGATTTGCCAGACACTTGAAAAAGAATAAAGTTTGAAGAATGGGACAGAAGGAATGGGGTGCTCCCTTCTCCAGTTTGGTCCCATACACTCTTCATATCCCACCACTTTCTCAGGGTCTTTTGACAGCTATCACATTTGACAAGTGTCAGAGCACAGTAGCGGCTACAAGAAGGGAGTGGCTTAGCATCTTCCCTTTCTGGACTAACTGGAGACTCAGGAAGTGTCCCAAAGGTGGAAGGCACAAAGAAGTGTTGATGTAACACTTAAAACTCAGAGGATTGCCTTGGTAAGAGGGAGAGTTAGGGGCCAATCCATTTTGACACTCTTTTACTCTCAGATTCTTTCCTCCTGCCAATGCATTCCATTTGACAGCTAAGCAACTGTCGGCAGTCAACTGTTTTCACGTTAGCCAAATGCAGTTTCACCTTGTTATTCTGCTACTATATGACAGTATCGGTCTCTCCTAATATAAGCGAAATGATGGGTAGCCTTAATGTCAGTATTGATGTTTCCCTTAACAGTGGTTAAGTGAGTAGGGGGGATCTTGCTGCACGGGGGGGAAAGGATATCGCTTCTCAATGTGTGAGCTACAATTTGCCAAGTTATTTATTCATTAGCTCATCAAACTGATCCTTTGAAGGATCCAGGGCTAACTCCTTCACCTGGTCACTGAGCTGTGTATGCTATTAAAAATAGAGACATTTGGTTTATAGCTCGCTGCCTTGTTTGTGCTGGTTCCCAACAAAACAGAGAATCTGGGTTCCAAAAATAGTGATGAACAGTTTGACTCACTTGCTAGATGTCATTTTGAAGTGCTGGAAATAATGCAAGCAGAGAGAGCGTGCCTCTGGACAAGATGCTGTTGCTTAAAAGAACCTAACAAAACCTGTCATCGTTGCTTAGTTTCAAGTTCAGCAGGCAAGGTGGATCACAAGTGGAATTGCTGCTGTCTTGGTTTGCCGGAGAAAGTTTCTTGTTCACAATGGTGTGAACTATATTGTGTAAACTTACCAAATTCTTGTTTGGCCTACACCAGCTCCTACTGCTCAGGGAAAGCAGCGATCACATGACCTATATTCTGTATGTTAGGCTCAATGGTGATGGACTTGATGTTTCTCACCTCATCTGTTTATGCCCAGAATAGAGCTTCTTTCTAGAGCAATTATGTCTTTCAAAGAGCTGCTTCTTCTCTTATACATGGTCCATCCAATGGCTCTCCTTTCTCTTCAATTTGTTTTCCTCCGAGGATCTTATTTTCCTTCTTAAAAAGGCCCCTTCTCAGTATTCTTTGGTCTCTCTTCCTTTTCTCATCTGTCTGCAACTTCCATGGCTTTACCAGGGAAAGGGTGGTTGCTAGGTCTTAGCAAAACAAGATAAAAACAAGGAGAAAACAGCCAACCGGCATACTCATATCATATGAAGTGAACAGAATATCATGCAAGCCATTTCAGAGACTTTGGTTACCAGTATCAGCGCCAGGGCTGTGAGTTGCTACCTAAAAGCTTCAACTCCCACTTCAGCTTCTCAATTTATGGTACCTTTGACTCCAAACCCTTTATTTATATATTTGTATAGGAATATTCTGATTACTTAAGTCCTATGTTGATTGAAAGCACTCAACCGACTTTCATCACAGCCAGCATGAATCATCAGTCTATGTTTTGGATCCCTAGCCCATGAAAGAGGAAATTTTAATATCTTATTTATATTACAATTTAAATTTATTAGCAGTTGGATTTGGTACATTTTTACCAACTCTGACTGCAAGAACCCAAGAATTGTTTCCAAGTCTGACTGACTCCATGACTCCAACTCTGACTCCACAGCCCTGATCAGCACACCTTTTGCAACCTCAAAAGTGTCTCTGTCTGAGAGTTACCTCAGCAAACAACCTTCCATCTCCCTAAGGCAAAAGGAGCCATCTCCATGGCTTGTTTATGCCAGCAGTTGCTGCCACTGGGCCTGCCAGATTGTAAAGCACCACCAGAAGACACATAAGGAACTCCATGCTCAGACAACCAGTAACCACCAGTGGGGGAGTCCTTCATCTTACTCTTTTTAACAGCAAGAGAAGGCACCAATCTTGGCAGCAGGAGTGACAACGTCATTCTGGCTCTAACCAGCAGATGAAATAATTGAAGGAAACACTAGCCCAGTTTCTCTCCTTCAGTGGAGAAAGGCATGGATTGGCCCTGCTTTTCTTTGGAGGTTACTAGAACTTCTCAAAATTATCAAGGGAATCCTCAGGGGCATTTTACCTCTATTGTGGTTACCAGCCTAGGAATTCCACAGCAACCCTTTGAGGATCCCAGAGGCTTATGGTCAGCTGCTAAAGCAGAATGGTCTGAGCCTTTTCAGAAAAGGGGCATGCACAAGATTTCTTCTTCAGAATCTCCCCCTTTTCCCACCTTAAGGAAAAAGGCCCCAGGGACAGATGCTGAAGAAGAAACTGAGACCTTTTTTGCAAGCACCCAAGAGGAAGTGGCTAGCATACCAAAACAAGCCAGAATCCTGAAGTGAACTTTTCAGCAAATAACCCTAGATCAAATCAAGCCAGAACTTACTCTGGGAACAAAATGACAAAGCTGAAGCTATTGTAAGAAGGCAAGACATTGGAGAAGACAAAATGCTAGGGAAAATTGAAGGCAGAAAAAGGGAAAACCAATACAAGATGGAATGATTCCATCAGGAAAGCCACAGCCTTGAATTTACGAGTGAGCCAGGCTGTCAAGGAAAAAACATTTTGGAGGTCACCATAAGTCAGAGGTGACTTGACAGTACAGGACGCAGAGATTCTCTTTCCTCCCCAAACTTGTAATTGAAGACACCCTTGTAGCTGTTCCCACCCCACCCTGCCAGGGGTTGCCATTCCAAAGGCTGGCTCCACTTGCATAAATGTGTCTAGGTGGAGGGTGAATGTTGAGATGGAGAGACACTCCCAAACCACAGCTTACTCTGACTGGTGGCTGAATTAGATATTGTCTAATCCCAGTCAAGGAATTTGCTTTCTGTGTAGTCTGTCTCTCGTGTTTGCACTCCAGCTTGCATTTAGGACCATTTCATGCTGGAGGGCGGGTGGGTGGGTGAGGAGAATTCTTCCCTTCCCATTTCCCCTCTCAGCCCATGGGTTCATATTCTTTATCATGATCAGCCATGGACAGGACTAGCTAGGACTGGAGCCTCCCAGCTGCATATATAGATCCAGACCACTTGATCCCTGTTTTTCTTGGGTGGAAGGGAAAGTTAGTCCCTGTGGGACACCTGTCCCATCAAAGCAGAAAGGAAATTCTTGGTAAATGTCCAGCACTCCCTTTCACTGAGTGATATTCTTTGAAACATCCTCAAATGCAATATAAATATATTACTCATTTCTTCACTGCTTCAACTTAGAACTCTTTCTTCAACCTTTCTTGCTGGGCAGATTTGAGGATTTCCTTGCCCGGAAATGGTCATCAGAGAAGCGCTTTGGTTTGGAAGGATGCGAAGTCATGATCCCTTCTCTTAAAACCATCATTGATAAATCCAGTGAAATGGGGATTGAGCATGTTATAATGGGCATGCCTCACAGGTAACTGCTTGTCAAATTTAATTTAATGATAATGATCACTTAGAAGTGCACTCATTTCCATGCTACTCATTTGTGCAACTTGGTGAAGATGGGTAGAGGCTGCTGACTCCCATTCTGAGAGATTGGCTACAGAATGAGATTAGGGCCAAACTGTGCATTACTCTAAGTACACTTTGGTTGTTTCTATGCATCTTTTTAGAAATGTGCAAACCAATTGCAGGGTGCCAGGTCTGGGATGCAGGCAGCAAGAGTTTATGGTTGGAGCACCAGGTTCAGGAGTGTTGGAAGCAGGTTGCGGTCTTTGCAGAAAGCAGAATGGCCAGAGGCAAGGGCAAAGTCCGGGACAAGCAAGGTCTGATGCTAACAAGGAATACTAGGCCCATAAGTGAAGGACGAATCAGAAACAGCCAAGGGGGAAATACCAACAAGACAGAGTAGAGGCAGAGGCAAACACAAGGTCAGGAGCAGGTAAGAGGATAACTGGCGTGATATAGCAGGATCAGGGGAAGAGACAAGGATCAGGCATGTGGTAAGGCAGGGTTGAACCAGAGGCAAGAGTCATGGCAAGACTAGAGCCAGAGTCAGAAGCAGAAACCTTGTGGCAGTCCTCACGAGGGCCAATGCAGGCTTTTATAGCCAAGTGGAAGAGCAGGGAGGAATCGGGGGCCCTCCAGAGGTCCCGGCTGCACCACGTAATTACACAACCTCCCATCCTGGCAAGTCCCTACAGGTCTTTCCCGGTCCTACAGGCACGTACAGGGGGAACCGTGCCTCTTCTCACCAGGATTGCTATGTCCAGGCTTCAGATCCTGACCCAGGGAGGTCAAACATGCTCATCCGTCCGTGGTCTTTCCAGGACAATCCCCCACCCCTGAACTCGTTAATTGCATTAGGAGAGAAACGTCCATTGGTGTTTATTTTCAGATATGTACTGATTGCCTTTCTCTATGGTGTGTGCTCCCATTTTTATTTTACCTCTAAGGGGAAGGCTGAACGTCTTGGCCAATGTTATCCGAAAAGAGCTAGAACAGATCTTCTGTCAGTTTGACCCAAAGCTTGAAGCTGCTGATGAGGTGAGATACAGGACAACTCTTATTTTCAGGTTGTTGCTACTTCGTATTTATCTTGATAGACACTACCAGCATTTATTTCCCCTCAGTGAAAACTGGAGCTAAGACTGATTGCTTGCATATAGTTAGTTTCATTTTAAAACTCTGGCAGATATAAAAACTTGTATTCTTTGAAGTAACACATAGGCCATGTTTGGCTGTAAGGGTAAACCATAGTTTACTGGAGAACCTGAGATCCTCCTTGCAGGCAAAGAGACAAAGTCTGGGTTCACGCATCACAACAAGCAGTACCGTGCGGTTTCTACTGCATGCAGGGTCTTCTTGTGTGCATGTGCTTGAACTATAATCAGGCTTATCATGGTAACTCTGCTCCCGTCCATCATGTTCTTCTCTCTCAGTCGTCCAGGTGGCATCCTCAGGAGGCACCATGGGGAGGAATGAGCTTGCTCTGACATGGACTGGCTTTGGCTTGCTGTGGCTGCCAGGCATTCCCTGCTACGCAGACAGGGCTCGTGCCCTGAGGCATGCGGGGGAGGACAGGGACCTGGCCAGGCACCATCTCCTCCTGCTCCGGCGGGGATGCTTGGACAGGAGGATGCTCGCTGCCTGCTGAACCATACTCAGGCAGAAAGGGGGGGCGCGATCCCTTTGGCCCACACACACAGAACAGACTGTTGTGCCTGCGGTTTCTCAAAGCCAAACGAATCCTGCTGAAGCTGAATCCTGCTGAAGCCAAACGAATCCTGCTGAACCACCATGATGGGGTGTGGTAGACAACAATCCAAATGGGTTTTTTAAAAGTTGCTTGTTGTGTTGTGCAAAGCCACCCAAACTCTCTTTTGTTTTACATACTGTTGGGTTGTTGCCCCTACTTCCTTTGTGAGTATCTTATCTGTCTGCTGTACAGAAGCACAGCTGAGGGCAGACAACTCATTGCTGCGACCATTGGTTCTCTTGCTATTGGCCCATTCCTTTAGTCTTCTGCAAGCCCCTGAATAAAATCCAGTCCCACCACTCCTGAACAAATGTATTTTGTCTTGTGGTCATTTTTTGAATGAAATCACATGGATTTCTTTAATACTAAAACTCTTCTGTTGAGCAAACAAAAGAGAAAGTGTTAGCCAAAGTCTGGTTCCTTAGGATGGGTGGATTATTGCAAAAATTGTTTTATGAAGGATGGTGATGGGGGAAAGCTTTTAGGTCAAGCTGTGCAGTTACATCTGTTGGACTGCCGAGATAGCTTGCAAAGACCAAAGCTGTGCTTTAGTCCACATTGCTTGTTTGATATGGGTTGAAGTGTCTGCAGTTCCTTTAACTGAGTGCTTTTTTTTCTCCTGCAAAGCTGCTGAAAAATTAGGCAGCTGAGCTGGAGAGAGAGACCTGGACAAAAAGACTTGGCAGGAAAGGAACCTGCTCTCAGGCAGAACTAAGATGGATAGTGAGGCCTGTGAAGGCATCTCAAAGGGTTTCTTACCTGGACGTGGTTTTTGGCTGTCTTCCCTTTGTATCTCTGTAGCCAGGTGGGCAGCAGGGAATAGGGTGGGTTCAGATGTAATGGAAAATCACAGTTAATTCAAGCCACATTTCACAAACCGCTGTCAAATGATGATAATTCAGATGTGATTTGTTGGCTCTAAAGTATAGTCCTCTGGAGCAGATTGAGATGCAGAAACAATTCAGAGTTTATTTTTCACAGACCATGGTGTAAAGTTACAGCGAACCTAGCCATACTGGTGGCATGCGTGTATGGAATTCCATAGATTCTTGTATCTTTAGGGATCTGGAGATGTCAAATATCACTTGGGAATGTACCATGAGAGGATCAACCGAACAACAAACAAAAATATCACCCTGTCCCTTGTGGCCAACCCATCTCATCTAGAGGCGGTAGATCCGGTTGTACAAGGGAAGACCAAAGCTGAGCAGTTTTACCGAGGGGATACTGAGGGGAAGAAGGTAAAGCTTTGGGGAAAACTGTTTCTGTTTGACCTCATTTCTGAGCACTCTGCAGTAGCTGTCAGCAATGGAAATGAAAGGTACAGCTTTAATATTCAAAGTATCCTTGCGATGATGCCATTCTCAACCTTGTGCAAGTGTCAGATCTGACACTGTGATTCTGCAAGCTGCTGCACAACTTGTTATAACTTCATTAGACTAGGTGCTGCTTGAACTAGTTGAGCTCATTGTCTGATGGCATAATGTTGGGTACAGTTTTAATTACTGTGTATGTTTTTTAAAGGGTCGATTTCTTAAGTCTCTAAAAGATTATTACAGTTCTGATTAGAAACTAGTTTTGTTAAAGGACTACTTTAAAAAGGAGGCTCAGGGAAGGGGCAGGGAGGAGGAATGGGCCCAGTTCCAGTCCTGAAGAACTTCTGCTGGCATGTCATGTTGAGCGGATGCTGTTCATCCATACCCCTTGGGTGGCTGCGAGCAGGTCTGATGGCATTTTCAAGGACCACATTTTATCTAGGTACCATACTTGATTGTTTCTTTCATTTCAGTGATTTCACTGAAGCGTCAGAGTATTTGGAAGTCGTGCAGTGTTAAGGGAAAAAGCGTTATTGGACTAGGGACTTGTGTTCATTTGAAACTTCTTGGCTGATGGTAACCATACCAGTTATTTTTAAATTCCTTCCCACTTAGGTTATGTCTATACTTGTACATGGCGATGCTGCCTTCGCAGGGCAAGGCGTGGTCTATGAAACCTTTCACCTCAGCGATCTTCCATCATATACTACCAATGGCACCATTCATGTTGTGGTCAACAATCAGGTAAAAAGATTCTGGGGAATTTGGGTTTTAAATATACCTTTCGACATGTCTCTTTCTGCTGCTTTCATAGTAGATCTTAGAGAAGTACATAACACTCTTGCATGTAACTGAGCTACAACTACAGGAAAGTTTGGTGAAAAGGAGAATACTAACAAAAATCTGGGAGAATTCAAAGGAAGAAGGCAAGCTTTTGGTTATTTTGCTATTTATTTAGGATCATTCTGCATTTAGAAAGCAAAATATTTGCATACCACCCCATATCAGGCAGGTTCTGGAGGAGTGAACAGTAAAAGAACTAAAACAGATAAAAGAATAACATCAGTGCATTAAATTTATTTTCTTTACACTTGTTCACATGGACCATGGGTTGCTATGGACGGGGTCTGTGACTTCTTGTGGTCCTTCTCTCCAGTACTAATATAACAAAATTCAGTTAATCAAGCCCTTAATAATAGTGCTTAAAACACAGAAATTGCCATTCAGAACTGCCTTTAAAATCTTTCATTTTAGATTGGCTTTACTACGGATCCACGAATGGCTCGCTCATCACCGTATCCGACAGATGTCGCTCGAGTGGTCAATGCCCCGATCTTCCATGTGAACGCCGATGATCCAGAAGCAGTGATGTATGTGTGCAGCGTAGCTGCAGAGTGGAGAAACACTTTTAATAAAGATGTGGTTATAGATCTGGTAAGCGCAATCTTTCTTTACTCAGGTGGAGGCCCAAAGGGTGAAGGCTTCTTTGTACGTGTACAATGGTGCTTTTGAGGCACCAAATTCCTACCACACACCCTCCCGAAAATCCTCCAATAAAGACACAATGGGATCCTGTCCTTGGTTGACTTCTCAATGCCACCAAGAAAACGGAGCAGTGTATATACAGTTAATATTGTACATGGCGCACTCTGAATCCTGCCCTTCAAACCATGAAAGCAATTCTGAAATTTATGATACAAGCTGCCCCCTTTTCTTAATAGCAGTGAGAGGTCAATCAAGAACAGAGTTCAGTTTAGCTCTAATCAGATGTTTTCCCTGAAGTGCCCTGTGGATTGTAATGAGGCCAGTCTTGTGTGTGAATAGTAGAACTTAATTCCAAGATGCATCAAGCTTCAGTCTATCTTCAGCATCTGCTTGTGAGTGGTAGAGTTTATTTCACTTCACAGGTAATCAGGGAAAACATCTGATTAGAGCTAAACTGAACTCTGTCCTTGGTTGACTTCTCAATGCCACCAAGAAAACGGAGCAGTGTATATACAGTTAATATTGTACATGGCGCACTCTGAATCCTGCCCTTCAAACCATGAAAGCAATTCTGAAATTTATGATACAAGCTGCCCCCTTTTCTTAATAGCAGTGAGAGGTCAATCAAGAACAGAGTTCAGTTTAGCTCTAATCAGATGTTTTCCCTGAAGTGCCCTGTGGATTGTAATGAGGCCAGTCTTGTGTGTGAATAGTAGAACTTAATTCCAAGATGCATCAAGCTTCAGTCTATCTTCAGCATCTGCTTGTGAGTGGTAGAGTTTATTTCACTTCACAGGTAATCAGGGAAAATTGTTCTTGTTGCTGTCGGTAATTTCTTCGCTTGCCCAACGTTGCACCCCAAGGTTTCCTTTGGATGACCTTGCCTCAGACAGGAGGGCAGGGCGGAAGATTTTTCATAATATACAAGTGCCTAAACCATTATTATTCCTATGTGCTGCCTGCTGGGCCAAATATGAGATGGATTGATTCTATAAGCCAGGGGTCTCAAACTCGTGGCCCGTGGGCCAATTTCCGGGATGGGTGGGGCACAGGGGAGGGGCCCTCTGGCCTTCAAAGTGCCGGTGGCGCCTGGGCTGGATGCAGGATGAGCGGCCCACCTCCGCCGCAGTGGTAGAATACTTGATGCAGCCCAGCCTCACCCAGACTCTACTTCCAGAGGCCCCCAGGTAAGTTGAGTTTGAGATCCCTGCTATAAAGGAAGCCACAACCTTGAGCTTGCAAGAGCTGAGCAGGGCTGTCAAGTACAGGACATTTTGGAAGGCCTTCATTCATATGGTTGCCATATGTCGGAGAAGACTTAACAGCATATAACAACATTTTTAGGAGTCTCATGCACCCAGTAATAGACTCCTATCAAGAATTTTCCAGGGAAGCAATCTAGTAGAGTCTTTCCACAGGATAGATGTGGAATCAAAACAATAGAAACATAGAAGGTGTCATCCATAAGGGGAAACAACCACTGAAACATATACACTCCTGGTTGGAGATGCCATGGATTGTTCTTCCATGTTGTACTGGGGCTGCCCAAAACATTCAGATCCAAACACGGCTGAAAGCAGTTTTCTCCAGTCTGATGTTGCCCAGACATTTATTTATTTATTTATTTATTTATTTTTCGATTTATATCCTGCCTTTTTCCTACAAAGGGCTCAAGGCAGCTTACTGCAGCCTCCAGATTCTTGACTAGTGGGTATATAGGCGGGGGCTGATGGGAACTGAAATGCACAGCATTGGGAGATCACCGGCTTGGGGAATGTTGCTCAAAAGAAGTTAACTCTCAGGAACCAAGGTGAAACACAGCAACTCATATTTTAAGTAAGATATAGAAAAGTGGAGATTTTAACCATTTTTTAAAATTTTTGCTCATGGGTTTTTAAAATATACATTATTTTGCTTACATATATTGTAGTGTAGTAAAAGCTTACACTTAGTAAACTTTGTGATAAAAATGCTCCAATGCATGTGGTTTTATTGTTTTCTGCTACTTGATGATACCTGTTCACTCAGATACACTCCTTTAAAGGGAAAAAAAATCCACCTCAACTGCCATAATAATTTTCTTTGTAATACTTTGCTCTTTGGTATAATTTGTGATTGCATTAACCAAGAGCTATTCAGAGCAATTGCAGCCTTGACATCTAGTCAAGTGGGGAGGGCATCCCAGTGCTGCTGCTACAGGACATTGGGGTTATCATGCGCTCTTAAGCAGGAGGGTAAGCAATCAGAAGAAGTTGATGGAGGATTGGTCCTCTTGCAATTTCTTCTTCTCAGCTAAATTGTAACCCACCACATGTCTTGGCTGCCTCTCTCCTCTCCTCTCCTTCTCCTTCCCCTTCCCCTTCCCCTCCGACTAGGAGCAAAAGTTACAAGGTCAATTTTCGTGAGGAGCAATCTTTATTACCCGACAAGGACAGATGATAATACCAAGTTCACATTGACTGGAATAAGGCCTTTCTTTGTAGGTGTGTTACCGAAGACGGGGCCACAATGAAATGGATGAGCCCATGTTCACCCAGCCTTTGATGTATAAACAGATTCACAAGCAGGTGCCTGTTCTGAAAAAGTACGCTGACAAGCTGATCGCTGACGGAACAGTAACGCTGCAGGAGTTCGAGGTATACCATGCCAGCAGCGGATGATGCTGATCACACCGCAAGTAACACTGCTCTAGCCTTTTGTTGCAACTAGTTTGTGTTCTGGTTTGCTTTCCTCTTCCTTTTTGTATAAGGTAAGAGGAGTTATTTCTGGTCCTCTGCGAGATCTGTTGGATATCTCAAAGACTCCAAACCAACACAATACAGTGAGCAAGAACAACGATAGGTAATTGATGGGCAATACATAAAAATTAGGAACCCCAGGAATGAGAACTAATAAGTGGCAGACAATTCAGTGAAGTGCAAACGTCCACCGATTTGGTTGCCACGGTGCCTGCTTCACTCTCCCCCTACCACCAACTTCCATGCTGTGCTTTGTAGGTGCTTGAACACTTTCAGATATGCCCTGGCTCCTCTCTGGGGACTTCTTTGCACACCAGAGGGCTCGGGAGGACTTGGCTTAGTGGTGAACCCCAACAATGGCAGGCTTCTGTGGCCAGCCAATATTTACGAAACCTTTACAGGGCCAGTGCTCCCATTAGGTAGGGTGAGGCAGCTGCCTGAGTCAGCTGACCCTGCATGTCATGAAATGGTAACCAGCCATGGGATACATTACTTTGTTAAATAATTTATTTTTGTTTAAATAAAATATAATACATCAGTATTGTACACTTACTGCCATGGAGTGGGAGAGATGCTTGGGTTTTTTTCTTTTTTGCTAAAGGTACCAAAATAATCGGGCTGGCCTTCAGGCAGCACTGTATTCCTCAACCTAAGATGGTGGATTGGGTTTGGGTGGGGGGGACTCCACTGGGCAGGCCCTGCGGTTAAAACACAAGGATACCGACTTGGTTTGCGCATCATTACCAATGCACTCCCTGCTTTGGTGCTGGTGTTCAAGGATAGGCTGGACGTGCACCTAGTGGGCATGTCGTGAGCGGAGCCGGCTGGTGCCGGAGGTCAGACTAGATGGCCCAGGAGGCCCCTTCTGACTCGCTCTGTTTCTATGTTGCTTCGGTTTGTTGTGTTAAAAGCCTGGGCTAATGCTGAACAACACAGACTGTTCCGTTTGCACCAGGCATTCCTGGGTTGTTTACCAAAATCAAAGTGGGTGAGTGGTAGGACCTAGACCATCCCTAGGTCCCCTGCACTCACAGACAACCCATGGCTTATTAATCATGGATTGTTTGATTGTATGAACTAGGTCATTGTCTCAAAGGCTGAATAAATGCAGGCACAAAAGTGCATTGTTGTGAGCCGGCTGATCCATCTGGGTTGCACAAATACATCTCTCCTGAGGATCTGGAGATCATACATTAAGGCCCGGTACTGCATGACAGTTGGGGGCTGCAGTGTGAGTGATGGGATCCGGGAGACAGTGGACAATGGCAGCTTGTACAAGCCAGCAATGGCATCCATAGCACAGAGAACTGCAGTTAGCGGTAGTCTTATGTGTGGAATGGCAGCTATGCTTAATTGTTTTCAAGCAAGCCAACTTCAATGGCTTTTTCCACAAACCAGAATCGGAAGCCAATTTTAAACCGTTAAATCAAACTGGACCATTATTCCAATAACTTCTATTGCTTTGATCCATGTTAGCTTGGATTAAAAGGGTAGGGATTTGATTTTCTCAACTTGGTAACAACTGACCATCATTTTGTACCTGCCTATAGTTTACCTCCTCAATGAACTTGGGGCATACCAGCAGTGTTGTCATTATTTTCTCTTTTAATTCAGTGATTTTTTAAAAAGATGAGCCAGAAGGAAAAAAAAAAAAATGAGGGGGAGGACAAAGACAGTGATGGAGAAAGATAGATATGGTAAAGATAATGCTTGTGTTAAAAGCTAAAACTATTTGATGGAGCCATAGAAAGTTTGTGTTTTTCAGGAAGAAATTGCAAAATATGATAAGATCTGTGAAGAAGCTTATACAAGGTCCAAGGACAATAAAATTCTGCACATTAAACACTGGCTGGATTCACCTTGGCCAGGTAGGAAGTGTTTTTACATAAAATTTCAAGCCTTTTTTACTTTATTAATGCAGCATGACTAATGAATAGGAATATTTGTTCACTAGGGCCTGAACCAAAAGGCCTTCCCCGTGTAGGTTAGGCTTAGGAATGGAGTGACTGCTTAGGATGGGCACTAAATTGGGATGGCCACTTCAGTGATTTTCAAGGTGGGGGAAGAAATATTTCAAGCTGTTTTGGGAGGAAAAAATCCTTCCACCTCTCTTCTTTTTCTTCCTGTTCCTAAACTGTGGGTTGTGCAGTAGCAAAGAGGTTTTTGCCTTCCCTTTTCTTGCTTGTTAATTCCATTAAACACTTTGCAATATCTCCTTCCTAAATTACCCTTGAATTGTGCCAGGAATGGTTCTTATATGGATAATAAGCAAGAAGGGGGAAACATCAGCTCTTCCAGCATTTTTTTTGAAAAAGTAAAAGGAAAGAAGTGACCAGTGCTGCTGCTGCTGCTAAGTGGCTCCTTCCCTGGAAAATATTTCCTCTGGACTATTACAAGTTGTTATACTGCATTATCTTACTCTTTACTCGAGCCTTGTAGCTAGAGTCAGAGAATGACAGTGCATCTGAATGTGACTGAGTGCCAGATCTGGACTGAATGGAGAGTCAGGGGAGGCAGTTTAAGTAGATGAAGGGTGTTTTGAATGGGTAGCTCCGCGTGGAATTTCAAACCAGCCTCAGCTCTCCCTACAATATGAAGAGCAGGAAACTTTATTGGGTGCAGTGCTACTGTCTCTAAGATACGGCCTCTCCCCACTCCATATCCAGCCCCTGTGTGAGGATAATAGAATGTATCCGCATGGGCAGGGAAAGGTCTTAAATGTACAAAATTCTTCATAATGATAACAATATTAGTCAGTGGGGGTGACAGGGGGGAATGAAGAGTAAAGAGAAAGTATTGGCATGTCTAAGCCCCTAACAAGATAGGAGGTATCCTCAGGTAGGGAAGTGGAGTTGAGGAGATCCGAAACAAAACCCAGAACTTTCTTCCTTGCTTCATATAGGCAAGTTTTATGTGAAAGGGAAAAGGACACTTTTTCTACTTCCCCACTCTTATGAAACGCTAACAGCCTAATTGATAGCAGTGAAGCTCACAGTGAGCCTCAAATCTGATCCCCTTAGCTCAATACGCCACAGCAGAGGATGGCTTTACGGCAGTGGGGAAGTGAATGAGGTTGCTTTTGTCGCCCTCCATGTGGCAGCTTGCAGGCACTGTTATGAGGAAAACCCCTCTGAGGAGCTTGGGACAGAGAATGTAACATTCCGCTACAGCTCCAGGACTTGGTTATTACTCTTTTTAATATAAATGGCATGGGGTTTCTGTAAACAAGCAGGAACCTTCCACTGATTTCTCCACCCCTTGCTCCATTTTAGGTTTTTTTAACTTGGACGGAGAACCAAAAAGCATGACTTGCCCTCCTACTGGCATTCCTGGAGACATGCTGACCCATATTGGAAATGTAGCCAGCTCTGTGCCCCTTGAAGGATTTAAAATACACGGAGGTGAGTGAGAACCTTAATTCTTACTCTGTTAAAATGCTAGCATTCCTTGCTTTGTTGAAAAGTAAGGTGGGTGGATGTTCAGACAGCCAGAAGTGTTGAGTCTCTTCCTTTCCCCATGTCAGGATGCTTTCTGTTTCCTGAGAAGGAGGCAGTTCTTCTTTGCTACGTCCCTTCTCTTTAAAATGTTCTGCTGCATCGCTTTAGTAGGCTGCTGCTATAGAAGTTTGCATGTCTGACTTTTAATTCAGGCTTATTAAATGTTGGAGCAAGCAATGTTAATGAGATTTGCTAATTAGCATTTTTCAGACTTCCTGATTTGATCCTATCATGCCTTTATTTTTCATTTCAACGGTCTGGCAGACATTCCACATGTTTTTAGAGAAGCGATGCCGCTTGAGTTAGCGTTAAATTAATGTTAGAGGTGGCATGTACGCACTCACAAAGGTGTGCTCTGTGTCTTTTGACTGGTCTCTGACAGGTTTAACATTTCCATTTGATTCATTTAGCATAGTTATATCTTGGCATTTCTCCACATGCAAACGTATTCTTTAAAGAAGGGAGTTTGCGTGTGATCAGAACACCACCACAATATGGGTAGTGGGAAGAAGCTGGAAAGAGGGGGTTCCCAAGGGAATCAACAGCTTTGTCCATTTCCGTGGGTGTGTACCTCTGTTTAGAATGCCTCTGCTAGGCTGGTACTTTTGGTAGCCAATGTCTGATTTCTCCTGTCATAGCCAGCAAATTGAGTCTGTTGCATAATCTGCAGTCTGAATTGATTCATTCTTAGACCTCAGTTTTTACAGTCACATTATTCCATGCCAACAACAAACTACTGGATAAACTGCACAAGATCTGAGTAATGCGTTTGATGATCAAATCTACCTTTCTTTTATTTATTTTCCTTCCTCTGAGATTGATCAACGGGACTGTTATACAATTAAAATTCCCAAGAAGCTATTATAGTATTGCTTTCAATTATACAACTTGAATGTTCTGTGTTCAAGTGGCATGTAATTAACATAAATGTTCTTATTAAATCAAAATATTACTCATTAGGAAGTATCTGGAGAAGGCCTTGTATACAAAGTGTAGCTTGCAGCTCCGGCCTTGATTGCCACGCGTTGTGTTGCATAAGTATTTTGTTAAATATACACACATGTTCCTGAGGCACTTAAAAGTAATATGATAGGTAGAAAGGGCCATCTGCTTGGTTCTTTATGGACATCTGTAAAGCTCTCCAATTTTAAGAGGCAATTGCTAGGCTGATAGGGATTTAGATGTATCTGCCAGACTACAGTCTGGAAATTGCCTCATTCATAAAATGAGTGAAATATGACTTGCTTCATGGAATAGCCAGTGTCTTGCCAAAATCATTCAGCCTTAACAATTGAGCAAGCCCTTATTCATGAAAGAGGAACAGCTATGCAAGGCTTTTCGCAAATTCAACAGAAACATTGCTTCATGTGAAATGTCATGAATTAGGAAGGAAATGTCAGAGCATGGTTATACAAACAATGTCTGTTGAATGATGTTACTTACTTAAAAACAAATGTGTTTATCATTTTAGTATACCAAAATTGAAGGATATTGGTTTTAGTGAAGTGCCATGTAAAATTATGAAGCACCACCTTTGCAGACTACTAGCTATTTAACCACGCAGGTGAATAACTTGCATGGAACTTGAATAAATAGAAATAGAAATTACAGGTCCGTCTTTTGGGATGAATGTTTTGCTGTTTGTAACCGTTAATATGGTTAAATAAATAAAGATGATGAAAAAAGAACACGTGACTGAATCCAGCAATTCTACTTGAGTGTGAATGAAAATATATCCAGAGCTGAATTATGTGAAATGTTATCAAGATGAGGATATATGTGGACTTTGTAGTTAAACCGGATTGCCTGGATTGCTGCGAAGTTGCGTGGAGAGCAAAAGCATCCAAGGGGCAGAACCGGGAGGTGAAAAGGGGTACAGATAAGATGAATGTTTCGCCACCAAGTGTTACCTCCTCTTTTTGGCTCTTTTGGTCGTGTCTCAAATAGCAAGACGTAATTGGCATGCTGGCCAGTTCTTGAATGTTGCAGCCGCTTATTCTTTTTTTGTGAACTGCCTACCATCCCATCTCACATTTAGGACTTTCCCGGATTTTGAAAGGTCGACTGGAAATGACAAAGAACCGAGTTGTTGACTGGGCTCTGGGGGAATACATGGCTTTTGGGTCTTTATTGAAAGAAGGTATCCATGTCCGTCTAAGTGGGCAGGATGTAGAAAGGGGCACTTTCAGGTGAGTTGTATAATATGGCAGCTGTTCATTTGATCGAAAATGTTGTACCTATTCTTCTGAGAACTGATGCAAATCTGAGGCTCAATAGAAATTACAGGTCCGTCTTTTGGGATGAATGTTTTGCTGTTTGTAACCGTTAATACGGTTAAATAAATAAAGATGATGAAAAAAGAACATGTGGCTGAATCCAGCAATTCTACTTGAGTGTGAATGATAAATTATAGCAAGAATTCTTGATGGAAGAAAAAAAATCAGACACAGAAAAATAGTTATGCATGCAAACATAATAAAATGGTAGATGAAACTTTATGACTGACAGATCTTGTTCCTAGAGTTATTTGAAGAAATCTGTCAACATTTACACATGAGATTTCCTGTCTTTAAGTAGGAAAAAGGTGAAGAAAAAGGAACCTGGTTCCTCTGGATTTTACTTGGACCTTCAGAAAATATGCTAATAGAAAATGCCAGGGAATATATATACATGTGTGTGTGTGTGTGTGTGTGTGTGTGTGTGTGTGTGTGTGACTCTCTGCCTGTGTTATGCGGGTAGTTTATCATGGATACTCATGGTGAATCCTTCTCAGGGTAATTTTGAAAAATACCTATAAAGTGGGGAATATCACCAAAAATAGCGGACAGACAACTGAGCATGCCTGGTTGCCACAAAACACTGTCTATTGGTTGTGGGCCGTGGGAAGGCACAACACCTCCCAGAAATGGAGTCCTGTGTTTGGAACTCTGCACAGGAGTACTAAGGCCTGCAACATTTTTCCAGATGTCACTTGTAATGGAATAGTCCTCTCTTGCAGCCTTCTCACACTGGCTGGAGGATTGCTGACTAAGTTAACTTGTTACTTGTGGTGGACCGACAGTTGCAAAATTCTGAACTAAGACTGCAAGTGGGAGATCTCAGTTTTGATAGGTCACCCACAGAACAATCTTCCGTCTCAAGATGCACTAAATTAGTACATCAGGGAGAACGCTGCAGTAAACCTTGATGCACTAGGCAGATTGCTACAAGCAGTTCTAAAAGAGGATATGGTGGTCCATTCAAAAATATTACAATACACCTGCTGCCTGAAAAGTTATGTTTCAGAATTCTGCAGTGCAAGGTCTATGATCTCATGCTGCATAATTTGTAAATCATCTGTTAGAGGGTTTCTATGAAGAGAGAGGCCAACTAAGATGGCTTTCTCAATTACCCTCCCACTCTTGTTGCACTTTAACCTTAGGCACATGGTTGGTCCCTGGTTTTATGATTTTGACTAGTTCCTATTTAGAGTAGTGAACAGTTCTTGCTAAGATACATTAGAAGAAACAGAGTTTCTGTCTGCAATTTGTTCAGCTTCGGCAGGTATGCACCACAAAATAGCTATTATCGAGGTAATCGCCCTTCTTTCTTTAGTGGTTGTAGAGCTTGAACATATTGGTGTGTTTCACTCAGTTAGTCTTGCCCAGGGAGTTAATGGATTACAGTAATTACTTCAGTCTTCTCTGTTTTGATTATGTTCCTTGGTGCACCATTCTAATGCTGATTGATGGAGCTCTGGAGAGCCCTAAGCGGTGTGTGAGGGGTGGGCAGTGAGGAGCTCTTTCAAGTCTCGGACCTGAGAAGTGCTCAAGGAGGTGGTAGCTGGTGCACAATGCAGACTGCACATGTCTCAAGGCAATGGGTAATAGAAATTTGCAGATCATTATAATTTGAGGGGAAGCAACCCCGTTGTGTAATGGCTCCCACACTTCATATTTTATGGAGTGTAACTGCATACCTCTGAAAGCCTCATGCAATTCACAGCAGCAATTCCGAAGTTATCCTTGGTGGTAAGGAGAAGGCATAAGTCTGTTCTCAGAACTGAATGCTTGGTGTTGGCTTTACTTAATATATATATATATATATATATATCACTAAATAAAAATCCATGCTGTCATCATATTGACAGAAATTGTTCATCTATGGGTCTTCCTTTTTAAACAAGTTAATAACACGATCTTCATTTATAAATACAGAATTAGATCCAGACTTAGTTGTACATAGTTAGAGTAGGTCTGTTGAGATCAGCTAGACTTAAGTTAGTCATTGCTGAAATTCCCATTGATTTCAGTGTGTCTACTCTATGTATGGCTAAATCTGGATCCAACCATGGTTTCTCATTTGAACAACAGCATAAGAACTGATGCAATGGAATCACTCTGTGTATGAATTCTGAGCTAGGAAATTATTGATTTAAATAGGATTCCAGCCATAAATTCATTAGGTTGCTTTAGGCAAGCCTCCATTTCTGTCTTCCATTTGCCAAGTGGAATGAGAATACTGTCATCTACCTTGCTTGTTCATTGTTACTGTAATCATATATGTGCTCAGACTGTTCAAAAAGTGCTCCATACAGATTGCTTCTGCTCCCCCTTTTAAAAAACAGTTTCATTCAGTTGCTTGTGCTTGTGTCACCTTTGTAGCCACCGCCACCATGTCCTCCATGATCAAGATGTTGACAAGAGGACCTGTGTTCCTATGAACCACCTCTGGGAGGAGCAGGCCCCCTACACCGTCTGCAACAGCTCTCTGTCAGAATATGGGGTCTTGGGTAAGTCTCAACAGTTCTCCTTGGGCTGATTGTGTGCCTTGAGGTTTCATGAAAGCAAGCAAGCAAGCAAGCAAGCTTGCTTTCCATCAGTCCCATTGGAGAGGATGTTTCAGCGATCCTCATTGCAATCCGAATGTAACACAAATCAAGGAATCACTTAAGAGAGCATTATGATAATGGAGATCCAGTGTGGTGTAGTGGTTAAGATCACGGGACTGGGACTCAGGCGATCCGGGTTCTAGTCCCCGCTCGGCCATGGAGCCAACTGGGTGACTTTGGGCCAGTCACAGACTCTCAGCCCAACCTACCTCACAAGGTGGTTGTTGTTGTGGGGATAAGATGGAGGAGGAGAATGATGTAAGCTGCCTTGAGCCCTTTGTAGGAAAAAGGCAGGATATAAATCAATCAATCAGGAATTATTTTTATACATTTCATCCTGAACCAGTGTGGTATAGTGGTTAGAGTGTTGGACTAGGACTGGGAAGACCCAAGTCCAAATCTCCACTCTGCTTCAATGCTTACTATATGGCCTGGGGCCAGTAATCCTCTCGTAGCCTTGCCAATTTCTCAGGGTTGTTGCAAGGATGAAATGTTTAGAGGACGAATCAAAAGTACCACCTTGAGCTCTTTGGAAGAAAGGTGGGAAATAGACAGCTAAAATGTTTTGGGATGGTTTGAATAGTTCCAATAGTGAAGCATTGCTTAACACAAATGGGTTAAAATAATCTAAAATGTTTCTTATGCCATATTTTATGCATACTATCTTACTTTACATTTATTCTGTCCATAGAAATTGATGTTGAAACTGGGTTCTTTATTTAAAAAATCTACTGATTTTTTCTTTAAGAATTAAAGCCTCTGGTTTCCTTCTGAATTTTTTAAATGGTAACCATGGAAGGAAGATTGGTTTTGAATCATTCCCATCCATTGCAAGAAAAGAAGGAGTTATAGCTGGGAAGGTTTGTGGGGCCAGCATGATTAGTTTTCTGCAGTAGAGAAACCAGTAGCATCTGATGCAGACATCCTACATCATGCTTCATACAACCTTTTTCTTTCATCACATCTTCCCAGGCAAGTAAATGCAGCCATGATAAAAGACAGAGATTAAACAGCAGACCTGAACTTGTCCTGGCATAAACAAACAAGATGACTCTTAGTTGGTCTGGGAGTTTCCATTAGTATTCTTTTGGATAGGAGCTAATTAAGTAAAATGAATTGAATAGCTCTGCAGGATGGAGCTTCAAATTGTTTTTCTGGCAGGTGCAGAAACAGAGAGCTGGCTCTTGTTCAGAGTGTTGAGCCCAGCGCTGAGGTATTCCTGAATGACTGAGGCGCACCGAGTGTATAATATTTTCACTGCAATCTTATTCTAACTGGACTAATTTGCCACAGGGATAAAACCACCACATCCCAGTTGCTCTACAGAGTGAAAGGACATTTCTGGGAAAGGGAAGGGCACACGCAGGAGATGCTGAGAATCGTTCAACTGTTGTCCTTGCCATACTTTAGTCTAAGTCGTATGTAGAACTTGTTGCAATCTAAGTATGGGATTCCTATACATGGGGTCAACTTTTTATTTCCCCCCCCCCACTCACTCACTTGTGCATTATGAAGATCAACAGCATGACAAAACCCAGAATGTTGTGTGTAGCACTAAGATGCATGTGTGCGGCCCTTTATCTGCATTAACGGACTTCTAGCTTGGGAGAGAACTTCCTTGTTGTCTCTTTGTGCCTTACATAGATTTGGCTTCCACTGCAGATGCCAGCTCATGTGAATGCCCCTAGTTCTGGAGTCACCGACATAGTGCCTGTGGATACCATTGTGCCTTTGCCTGCTGGACTTACTTTCTGCCCTGAATAAAAAAAAAAAAACCATTAAAAATACCTGGGAGGTTGGGCCCCAAAGGTTTCCTTAGAAAATAAAAGTGATGGTTGGCTGGAACCCACTGTGTTCTTTTGAAGTGTGCCCATTTACCTAGAAGAAAGAAATAAATAAGCTGGCAGGGTAGTAGGGGGCATCCTCGTGGCTGAGAGGGATGATGGGGAGTAGGGGGTACCTGTGCTGGGACGTCTGTCACCTCAGTGATGCCTTGGTTTGCCTGGTTTTGAGTGAGTATGCACATGGAGCATGTAAGTGTGCGTTTAGATTGTGTTGGGCTGTGTTTTGCCTGTGTTTGTGCATGTTTTGATGGAGAGAATCGGTGTGTGTTTCTCTGAACCTCTGTCTGTGTGATGGGTATCAGAGCAGAAAATGGTGGGTTTGAATGAGTGGTTTTGTGCTTCGGAATTCCGATTCCATCTCTGTCTTGTTTCTTGGTCCCTGGGCATATCCTTTTTCATTTATCTCTTCCAGTTTGCCTTTGGACATGGGTGCTTTGTGACTGGCCATGCCCAAATGGCAGCCATTTGTGTGTGTGAACAAGCCACTTAATTGTGGCTGCTTTGTGAACGTGCCAATGATACACACCCGGCATGTGCCCCCTTTTCCAAACAGGTTGGGGATTTCTACTTTAGTTTCATGTGTGTTCAGCTTGTCTCTGTGCTAAAATACAGGGGCTGCAGGCTGGTTGGACACTCTTTCATGCCTCAAATTGAATGATAGGCCCATTGGTCCCAGAGGAGGGAATTGGTGGCAAGGGAAAGGACAGAAATGTTTGTGTGAGCAGAGCAGAAGACTAGAACTCATAATCTGTTTTCACAGCTAGACAAAGTTGTACTTAAAAGTTATTGTTTCAGTTGGTGAGAACATTGGAATGCCATTTTTCGCTCACAATTAGAAGCCACAGGGGGAAGAAAGAAATTGTAGCAAGGCGAAACCTGATTCTCAAAGTTCTCTATTGGGGCAAACTGATTAAAGCACAGGGGCTTCCACCAGTGGAGTTCCATGAAGAGGATGTTTGCAGTGCTGTGCTGATGATGCAGCCAAGACAGAGACTGTGTTAAATGTTACGCTCCCCTTCTTGTTCTTTTAGATGCTGTAGTAGGTACAGCAGTAGATTAGTAGATTGCTCCTTCTTGCTAAATAGCAACGGTTTGTGATCTGATGGGGTGAGGACTGTGTACATGTAAATCCAGAAGGATACAAGCAAGGCGCTAATGAATGCTACTACACTGGTATTTCTGAAGAGGATGAAATGACGGTTTTAAATTCCTTATGGTGAGAAGTGCTTGTGCATAGCATAAGTACTTAATTCTAGTCTTTCCAAAACTCTACATCTCAAAGATCAAAGAAATGCTATATAGATATCTGTTTGTTGATTTGTTTAATTATATCTCATGGCCTTCTAACAAACAAGGTACATTACTGCAAACACACATTTAAATTACTTTCCTGTACTGTGAAATACTTAGAATCTAACAGCTTTGCCACCCCCTTGCTGGTCTTTGTTCACATATATTGCAATGTAGGGGGAACATGTTCAAGATAACACAAGAGCAGAAGAAGTGGTCGGCTGTCATTCCCAAAGACATCCTTTTGGTGTTTTTGTTTTGTTTCGCTTTAAATCCCTGCCTGAGAATCCCTGACTAATGGCAAATCATGTAGAATTAAGCTGCAGCTTCATTTATGCTAATTGAAAACTTCTATTTCAAGGGAGTGATGGGGGGTCAGAATAACGCCACGTGTGAACTGGCACACCGCTCTTCAGCACCTCTGTGTCTGGCAGAGCGACACAAGCGAAAGCATGAAAGGCAGAGCCTGATTGCTGCCTTTGCTTCTGAGGAGTCTGGCATCTGTGCCCTCCAAGCAGACTGGCAGTGCCACTGCAGTGCCCCGCAAGCATTACTGGCGGAAAACACCCTGGATGGGGTTGGTTATGTTACTAGATCCCAAATTATTTTATTATAATGGACTGCCCTGGGGGTTGAATCCATCGTGAGCAGAAATGATGTGCTCGTTCCTTCCATATAGGAAAGGGGCATCATTGTAAGAATAACCCCCTTGTAAGTATAACCAAGATCAGCTGTTAGATATGCTCGTGTTGCAAATAAAATGCTTATGGAGAATAATTGGGGAACTGGCTCTAATGACTGGAGATCATAAAAAAGGAAGCAGCTGTTAGGTTTTAAGCAAGGCTTCTCCAACCTGTTGTCCTCCAGATGTTTGGACTACAACTACCATCACCATTGACCCTTCTGGCGTGGGCTGATGAAAGTCACACCACTTGGGGAAATCTCTTCCAGGTTTCAGTCATGAGTAGAATTCAGGGGTGTTTAGCAATTCACTGTTGCAGCAGAATAGCAGTTAGGGAGAAAGATACATGTGCTGATTTGAAGAGGTTAAGTATTTATTTTAAAAATTTATAAATTGCACCTATATAGGACTCTCTGGATGGCGAACAATTAAAACCAGTAAAAACAAGTAAAATACAAAAATTTTGACCACTGCATAGATCATTAACTAAAATTATTTTAAATAAGTAAAGTAGAGCCTTCACTGAAAATTATACAGCATTTAAAATCAACACTGTTTGTTTTAGGTGTATAGGGAATTGACCTAGGCAGGCATTTAGCTAAGATAGAAATACTGAACTCTTTAATCTTATGTAGATTGCTGTAATTTGAGATTTTTTCTTTGAGATTAGTTTGGATTTACCTTTGACACGCACAGTTCTATTAGAGCAGCATATGTGTGAATAAGCTTTGAACAAATGAGCCATCTTGTGTGTTTTCTCACCCATGTCACCTAATCAGTAGAAATAGCCTTTTAATGCTTGTTTAAAAATAGAACTGGACTCAAGCCCATCTAGCTTCCCTTTCTTTTAATAATACCTTGGGGAGCTTATTGTACAAAAAGAAGAAGAAACCCACTGTTTCAGCAGATGACAAAACAGCATGTCTGCGAGGTTGTAAAAATAAATTTATCTTGTTGGAAATAAAGAATAAGAGTGTGGACGAATATGGATTTCTGGCAGAGAGCAAGTAATGGAGATATTTTGCCCGGAAGGCTGAAAAGAGTGCATTGGGTTTTCTAACGTTTTGGTGGAGAGAAACAGAACA